CCATTTGACTCATTCGAGACGTATTTAAGACGGCGGTGCAATGCCGTATCATCAGTACCTCACCAGCAGCCAGTGCAAACAGCCTCCCTCGCCATGTTCCGCGTTAGCCTGCTGGTCCTGTGCTTGGTCGTGGCTGCCACGGCTAAGCCCACTACAGAGGGAGTACGAGGACACACGCACCAGTCTCTGACAGATGCGTTTAATGCCATGAACACCGATGGCGACGACTGCGTCACCACGGAAGAGCTCAACACGTATACCGCTACCCTGGAGGAAGACAAAGCAGCAATCGAGTCGGATATCGAAGCATTGGCCGATGACGCTGCCCGACGCAAGTAAGGCAGATGTAGCGTCACCGGCAGAGTGGCGAGCCGGCGACTGGCCGGTCATAGAACGACTTCATCAGGCTTTAGACGACATTTCAGGGAGGAAGAAATGTCTCAAGAAAAGGCAACGCGTTTTCACCAACTAGAAAACAACCGTCAGATGCTGTGTGACATGGGCTTTCTTGATTAAGTGGCCGGTAGGAACAGAAGACCCGTGATGTTTTCGAACGAGTTCTTAGTATAAGAAATAAATATGTCAATACAGACCTGTTTGTGACCACGCGCCATTGAAAGTTTCGCATGCGTTTATCCTAAGAGAAGGCGCGTTTTTGATATTTCTCGGGGCACGTATAGTCTGAGCTCTGCTAGTGGCGTGCTCCCACAATTACGATGATCATAGCCACGATCATGATACATGATGTCCGTCACAAGCCAAGTTTACATCTCGCAAGCTTACACTGTACGATCCCGCACGGAACCGGCCGATTTGCAATAGGGCTCGTGCCCTGCCACCTCGAAGGCCACGAAGGCCATCTGGGGCCACGAGAACCCGCAGGCACATGCATATTACAATCTGTCGTCCCTTTGTAGTGGGTTCGTTCGTCACCTCTGACGGGTTAGTGGAAATGGGAAACAAATATTACCAAATTTAAGGGTAAGTTTGCGACACCAGCATAACCGACCCTTAGAATAACGACGCCGTTGGGCGAGTGCTGAAACGGATTCAAGTTACACGAGGCTCAACTTTTCCCGAAAACTGCCTTCGAAATGCATTCGAAGAACGAAATAAACGTTGCTAGGAAGTCGGATCAAATTCGGTTTAACTACAATTCTTCCTCATATTGCCAGCATTCCCATTTAGCCGTACGGTGTGACATCGCTTTTCAATGTTAAAGGTAGAAAGTACACCACAGTGTTTCAAATCCAATCTCTCGCCTGAAATAATCACAAACATTTATGAGTTCACCACCAGCTTTATTTTGAGCATGCTGCTTCAACTGACCCATTTGCCAGGCCTCCGTCAGAACAAATTTGTTTGCATCATCGCAGATTATTCGCTCCTCCCCAGTAAGTGTATTTCGAGGGATGAGCACGCTGCCCTCTCCCGCCAGGGACCAAATGTATTTTTCTCACACAACAGTGAGCTGCTTGGTATCAGTTTAGTACTGTTTGCATTTAGCGAAAGGCGTTGTGACTAAGCAAGTGTTTAATGATTTGTGTCCGACGTATTCAGTTGCCGCTGGCAAGACCCATGCACAAATTGGAGGCCCACAATGCATATCATACTTTTGCTCTCTTTAGAATCTTTTAGATTGCCCAAGACACTTTACACAGAAAGAAAGAAACTTAACGTGGAGGAACATTCCACCCACGACATTTTATTAAACCTTAAATGAAGATTTGTTTAAATTTGGAGAAGTTTATGCGATCCACAGAGACCTTGGCAAGTGGCAAACATCTATATGAGATGCCAAAGCACCAGCGATGCTGGCAGATGCCTGGTGACGGGCGAAATGTAGCCAACTTTCGCCCAACGTTTCTTGGCTATGGACGGGTTTGGGGGATGCCGAGGCAACGGCCCTTTTTCTTTTTAGCCTCAGGTGATCTTCCGAAACTACCTGGAGGTGGGGAAGGTAAGCTGATTGCGTGGTAATGCGATGCAAAATATTTACTTTAGCTTGCTAATGCTCTACGGCGCAAGGCAAAGGAAATAATTTAACCGCGCGCATGGGTTGCCAGTTGAGCAGCCTTTCACATCCGCTGGGAGGCAAGGTATCCTGACCCCTAAAATCTTAAAACTAAGACAGCTAGAGTCACGAAACTCAACAGAAAATGTTCACCTTTATGTGATCCACCCTTGTGTTATATTGAGGGCCGTAGGGCATGACTTTGGATCAAATAAGGAAAAATTAATGGTCAGACACAAGATTGGGTGGTCCGAAGGTAGCTCTCAAGACCTTGCCCGTGCAACCTGCCTTGAAAGCCTAGACACCTGTTCTAAACAAAGGAATCCATCTGGTGATCATTTTAAGGTCAGGCAGGCCATTTTTGGACGGTTGGAATGGTCATGCGAATATAAAAATGCAACAAGATTTGCTTTATTTTTTAAGCTTGAAATAAAGGCATAATGAATTACGCTAGGTGGTCGCACATCCTTAAAAAAGCAATTATTTGGATCATTTTAGGTCAGTGATCTGTACTGATTTTTAGGGGGTCCATGGAAGATTTGGTTGTAGTCCCTGCTATAAAAATCGAACTGAGCAACATTAACTACCTCTTGAAGGGAGTGCTCCGCATTTCTAAGCGGGTTTTGAATAGAAATAGTCATCTTAAAGACCTTGCGGTGCAGTTCATAGCCCAGACCTTAGCAAGACCTAAACTGCTCCAGTTTCGGCGCTATAAGCCTGCAAAAATTCCATGACCGTTTCGTGAAGCGTAGGTCAAGGTAATATCAGCATTCGCGATTTCATAATAACGTCATTTATTTGCTACGATTTCATAAGCCATGCGGCGATTAAGGCCGAGAAAAATACAATGGTCGAGTCGTTTATATCTGGCGCTCGTATGCACAATTTCTGGGTCAGTTGGCTCTAACGGTCGTCAGATGGCTCTCAATCAAAGTTGTGCAAAGAACGATGACGTAGCAAAACCATGACATATTGAGGAGTATAAATATTAAGCAGATAAATTGCGCTGTGTAGTCTTTCTTACCTTAAGGATCATGTCAGTAATAAGTGAGCTCGTTTCATCATATCTGGTGCTTGCCTCAATATCTTTAAACGTGAAATATTCCCTTCGAAGCAAGATCTCCAGCAAAAGAGCAGGCTGGTTTTAACCTCGGATTGGCCTGTCCACACGAGACCCTAGGTCTATCGAATTTGCCATAATCTCAAAATCAGTCAGTTTATCGCTGAAAAGCTTACCGAAGAGATATATGACTTCATTCTACTCTCCTATGGCGCATCATACTGAACGATTCCCTAGAAATTGCCTTCGCTGACAGTCACGGCTTGGCTTTGACGTGCCAAAGGTCAGCGGCGTTGAAAGCTACATCTGATTTTGTATCCAAAATATTTTCTTCTCAACTGCCTACAGCTACGCAAAGATTGGCGTGGCTACGCCGTCCTCTTCGAAAGTTGCGCTTTTGAAAATTATGTTGAAAACTGACCTCCGATGGGAGGTCAAATTGACCACCACCCAAGCGCGTGTTGAGGAAAACATGCACTCACTTAGTCGTGCATTTCCATGGCAGACAAGTAAGCACAGCGGTGTACACAGTCAGTGAATTGGGCGGCCGATCAGTGTTCATCACCGCGACAGGGATTCCTTATCACAGCCGAAACAGGAGTCTTGGCCGAGCGACCGGTCCCAACCAGAAATGACGGACGAACTTGCATTTGGATCAAAGGCGTAGTTTCACAAAGTGGTTTGAGGGAGGTGGCGGGGTGCTTGGCCGCGAGAAATGTGAATCCTTCCCCCAAAAATTCACCAACAAACAGGTGTTGTCCCAGATTTGGCCCATTATCCCTCAAAGTTGGTTTGGGGGACTGGGGCCCGGTTTGGGTGAGCCTGAAGCCCCTAAATTTTAATTTATATTTCACACTCCTTGTTTACAGTTGTCTGTGCTGGTTTTTAGTTAGGAGTTGCATTTATATTATAGCTTTGAGGGCAGGACTTCCGCCTTTGATATAAATCCAATGTGACTTTCTGTCCGTGTTTTATAATATCCTGGAAAAGCCCGAAATAATAAAAAAGAGAACATGATCATTCGCAAGGAGATGAACTTCTTTCATCTGGCATGAACACGTTTTTGCCAAATGGTGTAACAAGTCGGCAGGTTTGATCACGTGCATGCCGCTACTTCATCATGCATAGTCCTGTATCTTGTGGAGGGTGAAAATTAGTCAGTTCATAGGGCCTCGAGTGAGTATTTCCCAATAATATTGTTTCAGAGGCCGCTACTATGTCTACTCTCCTGTCTTTTGCAAAGTGGTCTATTTCGTCAAGTCGTTCCTCTGTTGTAATATCAAAAGTATTTTGATGTTATGATGCATGGCGGCAAACATGTATTATCTTCCTGAGAATGATATCCGCCTGTCGAGATGCGGGTAGGCTTGAGGTGTATGATGTACATTGTGGTGGCAAATATAAGTGAGGCGTATGATCATTGCGTGCTATTGTGACCTAGAAGTGCAGATCTGGGCAACAGCGGACCTTGTGTTTGGCGCGACAGTGTCTGTCAGTATGCGTGCTCTGCTGCGGCGGTGGCGAGACAAGGACGGCCCGGCCACCGGCGACGCACCACCAGCCGACCATTAGTGGGGCCCGGGCACGTGTCCCGGCCGGCCGACCCAGCAGGTCAGCGGCAGGCACGAGGGTCGGACGACCGGCGGAGAGGCCGACGGGCGCTGAGAGATCCAGCGAACATCAAATGAGCATTGACAGAAAGCGTGCGAAGACAAACGTGCACTGACAAACAAATGACAGGGACATTACGAGAATGGCACAGCGCGACGTGATAGGTCAGTCAGCTGGTGTAACTGAAAATTCTGAAACAAATCAATTTAACGGGATTTGAACTTGGCTTTCCGAGAGAGTCGGCTGAAACTGACAGACAAATAGAGGAATAAACTGAGTGCGCCACGCCAGGCGAAAAAGGACCTCAGCACTCACGTGGCTACGTGGCACGCTCAACACGAACACGACAACACGCGTGGCTACGCTCCTGCCGTGTTTCTCGCACTGAGCACGTCCCTGTCACGGGCACCTGGCGGCCTGCACCCGCAGGTGCCAGCGCCGGTGCCAGCAGAGGCGCACTCAGGCCTACCTCGCCTGCTCCTGTCTTTGCGACGGGTCTCACGCCGTACTAGCCGCTCGTCACCAGCAGCCGCTCCGTCAGAGGCGCGCTCAGGAGCGACAGCTGCCGGGGCAGAGGCGCACTCAGGAGCGACAGCTGCCGGGGCAGGGGCGCGCTCAGGAGCGACAGCTGCCGGGGCAGGGGCGCGCTCAGGAGCAACAGCCGCCGAGGCAGGAGCTCCCAGGACCGACTCTTGGGGCACCAGGCCCAATGCCTACCGGTGACTTTTGTTAAGAAATTCGAAATGAGCACCAGGTACTGCTTCATATATCCAGCACTTGAGTAAGAAACACGTTGGCTTCGACCTTGGCCTGATCGCCACGTGTGACCCTAGGTCAACGGAATTTGTTGTAACCGTATATTCAATTACTTTATTGCCTAAGAAACTATCGCAGAGATGCATTATTTCGTCTAACGCTTTGTTGTCGCATCAGACTGACCGGTTTCCTAGAAATGGCCTTCGCTGGCAGCCAAGGCCTGACTTTCACCTACCATGGATCAGCGACCATGCAAGGCACACCTAGATTTTATACCAAATGCTATGGTGTTCCAATGTCTCCAGCTATGCCAGGTTTGGCGGGTTTCCACCGCACCATTCGGAAGTTATTATGCCTAGTCTGGCAGCGGTCCCGCGTGTGCCACACTGTCGCAGCAAATGAATAGGGGACCAAGGCGCTTTGATTTTTTATTAGCACATATGACCATGTCAGAACCAGGAAAAATATTTCGCATGTTACAATCCGAACTGCGCACAGCTTCACACTTCTACATCCAGTTGTCATGTAATCAATGAAGGTGAGTTTCATTCCAAGCGTGTCTGTCACAAACATTGAGCACAATTGGTCAGAGCACAAACGGGCACATGTTTCCACGTCCATTGCAAGAGCAGGCACAAGTCTCCACGTCCTGCACGAAGACAGGCCCACAGACAAGCAGTTCCTCAGACCACATGCGGGCACGACTTCCCGAGTTCATTGCAATGGCAGGCACAAGTGTCCAAGTTCAGTGCAATGACAGACAAGAGTACAGCTCATGTCGCATTACCTTCCCGGCATCGTCATTATCTAGTAGACATAGGAGCGGTGGCCGTAGGGGAAGGCGTTGTAGGTGATGGGGTGGGTGCTGGCCGGGGTGTTGTACACGCGGCGGAACGCATACGGCGTGGAGTAGGCGGCGTGGGAGTACGGGTAGCCGAAGGGGTGGGCAGCATAGGTGGAGATCAGGGTGGCGCCGTCAGCCTTCTGGTCCGCCTCAGCGGTATCGCGCTTCTTCAGCGAGTGCACGATCGGGGTGTAGCCGTGGTAGGCGTTGTAGCCATTGTAGGCGTACGTGGTGGGGTAGTTGTAAGCGCTGTTGTACACGGTCGGGTACGTGCTGTAGGCGTACGGGTAGCCGGCTGTGTAGCCGAGGGGGTGGGCGGCGTAGCTGGAGATCAGGGTGGCGTCGTCAGCCTTCTGGTCCTCATCGGCCGAACGCTTGGAGCGGGACTGGAAAACGAAAAGGTGTGGTACGTCGACATCAAGGTACATGAAGTCTCTCAGATCAGATCAGTTTTGCGACAAAGGTAAAGACTTTCAGTCTGTACTGGGATTTTGAATTACTTTGTTGTAAACGGCCAGCAGAACGGAGGTTTTGAAAATGCATTCGCGTACAACCAGATAACTACGGAAGCGTCAATTCACAAATCATTACCTCCAAACGACCGGTGCAAACCCACTATGCTTGACGAGATCATTAACGTTGAATTGTGGCAAAATACGCCCAAAATAATACCTTGAAATTTGACTGGCTTGTCTTCCAGACTGTAGCAAAAATCGCTCTTTGCAGTTTCAAAAACATAACCGTTTCGTTAATTTCATTCCTATCTCGTGACGGTCTACAGCGCGACGAAGTCTCACCTCGAAGGTGACCGCGCGGTAGTCTGACATGGCGTGCATGATCTATATTGACACAGCCCCTATCAGAGTCACAGACTCCGTCATCACTGACCTCCACAGCGGGCTCCTCATTCTCGATGGGCTTGAACGAGTACGGCAGGCCATTGTAGACGAATGGATGGGTGGGGTACGTGGTGATGGGCGCGTGGTACGCATTGTACGCCAGCGGGGCGTTGTACCCGGTGTACGGCCACACGCCAGTGTACAGCTGGTACTGGGCCGAAGCGGAGCCGAGCACGGCCAGGAGAACCTGGGACAAGGAGCGAGTGTCAGTTGGCTGTTTTCCACTCTAGTGAGGCAGGTCCATACGCTGCATCCTGAGGTGTAAAACACCATGGATGATAATCCGATAAAAAACGCGCAAAAACTGCATAATTGCGACAAGCGCTGAGTCCAGTTATGTGCTAGCGAAAGTAATTGTGACTGAGCGTACCACAAACAGAAGGTTATCTGCCTGTCAGTGAAATCAACGGGCCGACGCAAGCCTCACTCACCAGAAGCTTCATGTTGATGCTGAGGAGGTAGCTACGACTTGAGATGTGTCTGTCGCCGTTAGCCGTCCGCTGTTTTATACTCATCTCACCATCGCCCGAGGCGCTGCCCATCCGGAGTCGGACGACAGCGGCCGGCTGGACCGTTTCGTTACCGGGCGCCTCCCTCGGACGGCGGGGTGCGTTTCCGAGATTAGCGGCCTCGTGGGCAGAGCTGAACGTCTGGATCGGACGGGATTCCTTAGCAGAGCGAAGTCTGATTCCCGTGGTGTGGTGTCCTCTGTCAAATGTGCGTTTGGGGTAGTTTTGGGGTTGCAACAGGGGGAGGGGGGGGGGGGGGGGATGGGGAGGGTCGGACTGACAAGTCGGAACAAACCTGGTCGGACTGATAAGGACGCGTATAGCCATCCATGTGAAAATGTGTGCTAGTGAGCAATGTTAAATGCTGGTTACGAAAACTGACGACTTCCATCAATAATGATGGTTTAGAGAACTGCCTCGGCTCCCTGTCTCTGGAGGCGGATACCTTCTCTACCGATCATGGGTTCTTGAAAACGCTTGGTGTGTGATGCAGCATCCGCCAATAACCTGACGAAATAAAGGTGAGTTAGTTATATAAAGGTACTTGTTTTCGGAAATAAGCCCAAAACTTCTCAGATGCAAAGACCCAGCTGTGACACATATTGAGTGGCGACATGGTGTGATCAAACCAATCATGAATTAACCCGCACCACACCAGAAGTCTGAGACAGCCGGAGAAGATGACTTCCCCTGGGATTTCCATCTTTCAGTCTTCGTATGTCAAAAACAAGGATACAGTTGTGAGGGTCTCGTGAAATGATGAAGAATGCACACCAAATATAGCATTATACTCAAATGTGACGTTACCAGATGTAACGAAACACCAAGACAGTTGTGACAGATAGTTAAAACCTATATGAATAAGTCGAGATTGTTATTGAGGCCACGAAATTGAGTGTTAGGATTGTGGAGAGTTTGTTCCGGCGTTTTTTTTTTTCTCAGGAGGGTTATATCAGATTAGGTTACCATTTAAAATTGGCAAACCAATGGCCTACAAGAACGATGCTTTTTCACATGTGCGTCTGACTAAGCTGATTTTAGTAGATGCAGGTGATGCAATATACCAGACACAAAATACCAGTTTAGGCTGACCTAGATGTTATCTGAGGTCATCTTTGGTTCAAGTTATAGGCCATTACTCTGAAAAGCTGAAATGCTAGCACGCACAATGCAGCCAGTACATTACTTTGCTGTGATCAGAAATAGCGTGTCTTATGTCTACAGGCACTCAAGATCGCTTAGCTGTTGTCTATATAATACATAGTCCCTTCAACGCTTGGCAATATATTTGTAACAAACGAAGAACATGACCGTGCATGAAAGAACAACCTGTGCATGAAATTATGCGCAGTCAGCATCTCAAGCACACTAAGGTATTGGTTACACACGTTGCGTTTGTTCATATAGCCTCTCCGCAGCTGATAACAAAGGGCATTGGCCTTTAATGGCCTAATAGCTACGCAATTCACATTTGCAGTGTCACGTTTGTACAGCGTGTGATCTCAAAGCACGGCGCCGTATGTCAAAATCTGTTGATGTTATGTGTTCATTGCTTCGTATTTGGAGACATGGCGTTTTAAGAATTCAGTTGGCAACTAGTTGTTTGTAGCTTCAGCTGCAGCCAAGGAGCAAAACACGCCATGTCATGATGACCCATAGAACACCGGTTACGGCAGACAGGATGCTCTGCCTCATGCGTGAGACGGTACTGATGGCTTCATTCCTCGTCAACTAGCTTAAGAGAAAGGACAGACAAATCCATGATTATTTCGGCCACACGCCTAATACATGCCTAATAGTACTTTGCAAGCCCTCACGTGACCTCTGGTTACCTCATTTTGCATTCAAATGATATCACATGTTTTCAGTGCAACATTCGAATTTTGCGACCAAAATTAACTATTAAAACTATTGGTTTTGAGCACATGACGTGTTTTGCACAAGGCACTCATAGACGTGGTTCATATCGGCGAAAGTCATGTGCTCTGTGGTCATATGATTGCTCTGGATGTCAACTGGTACTCTTTTCGTCATATTCAGGCATCAACACCGCAAAAAAATGCATACGAAGTTCCATTATTTACTTAAGATAGCAATAATTGCCCTACTTTAGGTCACTGACCCCTCCTGTATAAAAACATGAGAATAAAAAACTGTAATAAAATAATTGTATGCTACTGTAGGGTGCTTGTAGAATGGAAAATACTCACAAAAAAGGTAGGTGCTTTGAACAAAAATTTAAATTTGACCTGTTTGACCGGACTTAGTTCACCGGTCTTGGTAGATCAAAGCTTCAATTTACACAAAGGATGCTAAATTGATGGATTAATGTGTAAAACAACTTCCGTGGTTCTGCAAG